CGGTTTCCTGGGGCCCCCGGTCGTTTCGCGCCGCGCCGGCGCCCATTTTCCAGACGCGAGCTGCGCATGTGGTCGCGGCTGTCCCGCGGGGGAAAGCAAAAACATCATTGGGTAAATATTTAGCAAACGCGCTCAGATAGCAACGCCCCCGCGCCGCAGACGGCGCCGTTTGAACACGAACCAAGACATGTTCGACTACCCCTCACTTCCTCGCACTCTTCCCTCTCCTTCCCAGTCCCCCCCGTCCATTCCGCTCATATCCACTCCGCCCCACTCCCCCGCATTCCTCCGCGCTCCCCCCCACCTCTCCGCACTCCTCCCCAGTCCCTCTCCTCCTCGCACTTTTCCAATCCATTCCACTGTGCTCCACGTCCCTGGCACTCCTACCCGCTGAGTTTCACTTACCACTAGTTCATCCTGCTCCACTTCTTCCCAGGTCGGCACGTTCGTCCGCAATCCTCTTCATTCATATCATTCCTCCCTCGGTATCGTCTCCAACCATTCCCCACTCCCTCCCCTCCCTCTCGTCTCCCCCCGTCCCTCCTCCATCCCCCCGGTTCGCTGGAGACGAATGCGCCCCGTCCATCCGCGTTGTATAGCAGGAAGCCTGCGGCTCGAGCTGGGTCGTTCTCACTCCGGCTTTCTGGGCGGCGGACGTCTCCAGATGGGCTTCGGGGAAGGCTCCGAGCCAACGTCCTCTTGGAATCGCTCCGGGTGGGCTCCAAAGCGGCTCAGAAGAAACCCAACATATGTACCCTTGAGAACCCTGAAAGCGTTCCAAGGAGCCCCTTGGAAGCCCCCGCGAGGCGCCCATAGGTCTTCAAGAACGCCCAAAGAAATCGCTCCAGGTGGGCTCCAAAGCGGCTCAGGAGAGGCCCAACAGATTTTCCCCAGAGAACCCTGAAAGCGTTCCAAGGAGCCCCCCGAGAGACCCCCGTGAGGCGCCCATAGGTCTTCAATAACGCCCGAAGAGGCTACCATACCACCCAAGACAGCTCCAAGAGGGCAGCCCAAGAGGCCCAAGAAGGCCCCAAGAGGCCCCCGAAATGCTCCCAGCAAGCTTTCAGAGGGCTCCCACGAGGGCCCGAACAAGTTAAAGAGAACCCCAAGAGCCCTCGATGGCCCACGAGTTTCATCGTGGGTTGAAGGCGGAAAACCAACTCGACAGACCACCACAGCAGACCATCGCAATGAATCAATAACATGTGTATGTGTTGGTCTGCTATGCGACGTTTGTTCGTATCTTTGACGTTCCCACCCAGCATTCTGACAAGGGGGAGAGGGACATTGTAAGAGGAAGCGCGTTAGCCCATCTACCCCTAGAGTGCGGGTTGATTTTGTTCGAAGGCAGTTTGGGATGTTCCAAGATTTTTGGACGTCGTACTGCTCTAACCCGGGCTACACTGTGCCATAGTGGAGGTCATATTGGACCATGCGGTGTTATATTCTTCACGCTTCGCGTATCCCCGCCAGCCCATCCCGAAACAGCCGCCAGTCGAGTTGCCTTTGAAGAGGGAGGTTTAGCAGCACGCAATACAAAAGTGAACCACATCCTCGCGGAACGCCCCGTCCAGGTCCAGGGGAGGGGGTAGGGGGAGGGGAAAACCCGTCCAGGGGAAGAAGTGGTTGTGGAAGAGGAACGAGGAATCTCGTTTAGACCACCTGGCCGCAAATCAGTCGCCAGGCGAGTTGGCTTGATGATGATGTTGTCGCCAGGCGAGTTGGTGCCTCTTGGAGGCCTTTTGAACCGTCTTGGAGGCCCATTAGGCTATCTTGGGCCGTCTTGGGTGCATCTTGGCCCGTCTTGGAGACATCTTGGGGCCATCTTGGGCTCTCCTGGGACCATCTTGGCCGTCTTGGAGGCCATCTTGGACATCTTGGAGGCCTCTTGAGCCGTCTCTGGGCCCTCTTAGGGCCGTCTTGGGGGCCTCTGGGGCCGTCCTCGGGCCATTTTGGGGCCTCTTGGAGCGTTCTTGAGGCCACCTTGGAGGCCTCTTGGGAGCCTTGGAGGGCCTCTTGGGGCCATCTTGGAGGCGGTCGGTCAAACGAGGGGAGGATGTAGGAGGAACCGTCGTCGTCGGAGTAGGAGGAGGAAGAGGAGGAGCAGGAGGAGGAACAGGAGGAGGAGCAGGAGGAGGAGGAGGAGGAGGAAGATAAGGAGGAGGAGATGGAGGACTGCGAGGAGGAGGAAAAGGAGAAGGAGGAGGAGGACGAGGAGGAGGAGGGGGAGGGGGAGGAGGGAGGAGGAAGAAAAAGAGGAGGAGGAGGAGAAGGACAATGGCGAGCTTGAGGCCTCTTGGGCCGTCTTTGGGTCCTCTTGGCGGTCCCGGGGGCCTCTTGCGTATCTCGGGGAGCCTCTTGTGGCCTCTTGGGGGTCTCTTGGGGGCCTCTTGCAGGCCTCTTGGGGGCCTCTTGGGGCCTCTTGGGGCCCTCTTGGGGCGCTCTTGGGGCGCTCTTGGGAGCCTTCGAGGCGCTCTTGGGGCCATCTTGGAGGAGACTATCAAAGAAGGGGGGGTCCCCAATTAGCGCTGCCCCTCTAGAGTGCCTCGAATCGCTTCTTGGGCCCTTTCTTGAGGCCAAAATCCTTCCAAAACCTAGGTAAAACCAATGTTTTGTGCTTTCTCGCCTTTTCGCTCTTGGAGCCGTCTTGGGCCGTCTTGGGGGCCTCTTGGGCCTCTTGGGGGTCTCTTGGGAGCCTTTTGGAGGCCTCTTGGGCGCCTCTTGGGGCCTCTTGGGGCGCTCTTGGGGCGCTCTTTGGGCGCTCTTGGGAGCCTTCGGGGCGCTCTTGGGGCCATCTTGGAGGAGATCGATCAAAGAAGAGGGCGTCCCCAATTAGCGTTGCCCCTCTAGAGTGCCTCGAGTCGCCTCTTGGGCCCCCCAAGAGGCCAAAATCCTTCGAAAATCTAGGTAACATCAATGTTTTGTGCTTTCTCGCCTTTTCGCTCTTGGAGCCGTCTTGGGCCGTCTTGGGAGCCTCTTGGGCCTCTTGGGGGTCTCTTGGCAGCCTCTTGGAGGCTCCTTGGGGGCCTCTTGGGGTCTCTTGGGGCCCTCTTGGGGCGCTCTTGGGGCGCTCTTGGGAGCCTTCGGGGCGCTCGTGGGGCCATCTTGGAGGAGATCGATCAAAGAAGGGGGGTACCTAAATTGGTGTCCCCCCCTCGGGGGCCACGATCCCTGTGAGGGGTGTCAAAAAATAGCCCTCCCAATGAGCGAAAAAGCGCCCTCTGACACCTCGCGACCCCCTCCGTCCAGGTCCAGGGGAGGGGGTAGGGGGAGGGGTAAACCCCTCCCCGAAGGGGAAGAAGGGGTTGTGGAAGAGGGAAGAGAGACATCGTTAGACCACCTGTCGCCCAGAGGGCTGGTGGGATTAGAGCAATTCTTTACGCTGCACTTATCCCCACCAGCCCATCCAGGAACGATGCCCAGGAGAGCTGACGGGAGAAGGGAGGAAGAGACGCACATAGTGAAACAGCGCAGGCAACAGAGGTGAATTGGGAGATCTATGGTAGCGAAGGGTGCGGTTGCTGCTGCTGGTGATGTTGCTGCTGCTGGTACTCCTCTTGCTGGTGCTGCTGCTGGTGTTCCTGGTTATCGTGCTGCTGGTGCTGCTGGTGCTGGTGCTGGTGCTGCTGCTGGTGGCGGTGGTGCTGCTGCTGGGCTGGTGCTGCTGGTGTTGCTGCTGGTGCTATTGCTGATGGTGGTGCTGTTGGTGGTGCTGCTGATGATGGTGCTGTAGATTGTACCACATCGCTGTTTAGCTGGTGCTGGCGCTGTGGAGGACGAGGGGGGGGGGAGGAGGAGGCCGAGGAGGAGGAGGAGGAGGAGGAGGAGGAGGAGTCAGAGGAGGATGCAAGAGAAGGCGACAATTGGACCAGACAGACTATTGCGGATCTTTTGCTCTGGGACTCTCTTGGTAAATTCTGGCGCCATCTTGGATGACATCCTTCAAACACGGGGTCGACGCGGATTAGCGTTGCCCCCCCTTGGGGTAAAGCAAATCCACTCCTGAAGCTTTCTTGAGCGCTAATTGGGTGCTCTTGGGGTTGCACTGGAGCCATTTAGGGGGCTCTCTTTGGGCTCTCTTGGAAGCTTTGGGGTCTTCCGTGGAGCCCCCTTGGAGGCCATCAATCAAAGAAGAGGGGGTCCTCCGGCCTTCTAAGTACGTCGGCCGCTTGAGCCGCACACAAGCCGCCTCTTGGGGCCTTGGGGCGCTCTTTGGGCTCTCGCGGGCGCTCTTGGATCCGTCTTCTAGCCCATTTGGGCCTCTGTTGGGTCTCCCTCGGGCCCTCTGGGAGCCATCTTGAGGCTTGGGAGGGCCATCCGAAGCGAAAAATTGAAAAGCACACAAACGTTGATTGGATTCACTTAGTGAAGGCTTTTGAACTCTCGGGCTCTCGAGGCTGTTCTTTGGGGAGAGCTCGAAGACCCCTTGGGCCCGTCTTGGGGCGTTCTCGGAACCTCTTCGAATGTCTTGAAAAGCGTCTTGAGGCAATGTAGACCACCTTGAAGGTCATCTTCGGCTCTCTGAAGCCCTGTTGGCGCCACCTTCGGCCATTCTGGACGCTTCAACGGAGCGCGGCCCCTCATGTCCAGACCCAGGGGGGTAGGGCGAGGGGTAACCGCCCCCCCCCCCGAAGGGAGAAAGGGAGGTTGCAAGAGGAAGCGCGCTAGACCACCTGCGCCTCGAGCGCGGGTGGATGTTGTTGGAAGGCATCCTTGGGATGCTCCAAGAATGGTCGGCGTCAGACTGATCGAACCCGGGCTACGCTGCGCCATATTGGTTGCCATCTGGGACCATACGGCGTTATCTCAGAGTCATTTCGGGCCATCTTCGACGCTCTAACGCGCGGCGCTGCCCCGCTCCGCCCAAATCCAGGGGAAGATCTCATTCCCCAAACCACCTAGTGTGACTATCGGCTCTACAGCTTCTTTTGCCCAGCGCGAGTAAGAACAGACCTTGCGTCGCGCAGCGCGCCAGTAGTAGCTGCGTCGTGGTCGACGCCATGGCCACCCTGTTCTCGGCGGTGCTTGTCGTGCTCGGAAGCGCGCTTGGAGCTACTGCTGCCCCTGGCCAACACTCTGGCAAGTTCAACGGCCGGGCTGGTGCACGGGCCCAGCGCCCAGACGAGCTGCCCTTCATGGAGACCGGGGCCGTGCGCTTGGCCTACCAGCTCATGGACAGCCTGAACCCGTTCCCTGTTGATGTCGTCCACGCTTCATCTCCACTTGCGTGGAGCGTGGCTGGCGCGGTTGGCAGAGCCACTTCGCTGCACCCATCTTGCGTGTACGTTCACTTGGTAATCCTCATGTCCCTCGTCTTGGACGCGGTGCAGGTCAAGTACGGGGGGATCTTGGGCAAGTTTTCGAACCCTCTGATGATTCAGCACGGCGCGCCAGGGGACGGGAAGTCGATCGCGTTGTGGCTCGTTTTCCAAGTCCTCGCGTACTTCGACAAGATCCGCAACAAAGTCGCCAAGGCAGCCTACGATCAAAAAGTGAGAGACAAGAAAGACAAGAGGAGGCAAGGCCAGGGTCAGGCTGCCGAGGAGGAGGACTCCGCAGATGAAGATCAGAAGCTGACGCCGCCCGCCGACGTGGATTCGATTTTCAACAAAGGCACATTCATCGGTTTAGGGCAGTTCCTGAAGGGGCAGGGCGGAGTAGCTTACTTCGGGCTTCACGAGGGCAAGACGATCATGACAGATCTCTTCGCGAGCGGCCCCGGCGGCGGCGTGGAGGACTTGAACCAGATCATGGACCACGACTTGTACAAGAATCACCCAGCGAACCACCAGTCCAAGTTCAACGTGCGCAACGTGCACGTGGTCGGCTCCGTCCTCATGCACCTGGAGGAGGTGGAACGCCAGGCCCGCCAGTCGGACTCGGTGGCAGGCCTTTCGCGGTTCTTGATCGGGAAATTCCCCGTGGTGGTCCACAAAATCATGCCGGACCTCAACCCCGCGGAGGTCGAGCAGCTGCTCCAGGACGACCCGGATTACTTCAACAGCATGAACTACGACGACGTCGTCGGCGGCCTCGCTAATATTTTGTTCGCGGGGCGCCAGCTGTTCCAGAAAGACGCCCCCCCGCCGGTGCCGGCCACGGACGTGAAGAAAGTTTATTCGAAGATCACTGGTCTCCACACTCTGCCAATGAGCTCCGAGGTCCAGGAACACTTCCGCAAGTCGTACAACGATTCTGCCGACGCGATCCGGGGCGACCTCGCCAACCTCGGTGGCCGGGCTTCCCAGCTGAGCAAGGACAAGACCAGGCCGCTCCAATTCATCGCGCCCGTGCATCTCCTGGAGAAGACCATCAACTTCTTGCTCTCGAAGGCAGGCAAGTCGGCGGAGGAAAAGAAAGACATGGACGGACAAGCCATTCTGGTAGCCCTCGCGTCCGTGGACTCGGAGTCCCTCTGCAAGACCGTGCCCGCGAGGGATGCCATCCCACGGGGCGCCACGAAAGCTGCCGTAGACACCTCCGTTGCCTTGGCGGCTCGGTTCGCCCGGAGCTTCAGCATGACCGTGGGCGCTTCCCAGATGGTCAAGGCATTTCTCGCCGACCGCGCGCGACTCGCGGCCGTGCCGGCGCCTACCTTCGAGACGGCTGCGCAGATGCTGAGCGCAATCGTCGCGCCGCGCCTCGACCCAGCCAGCACGTTGGCGGAGATCGCGGAGAATCGCCTAAACATTGTCGCATTCGCACAACACCCTGCTGTGTCTGCCGACGACGTCCGCGCGAAGATCGTGGACATCCTCTTGCTCGCTTTCATGGGGTTCGTCCACGTGAAGGACGGTCGCTGCGCGGTGGCATGTTTCGCTTTGAACGACGAGAGCTTCCTGCGCGCAGCGAACCGACTCCAGACCTGGTGCCCGGATGCCTCCTTCCCTCATGTAAGAGCATTGTGCCCGGAAGAGGGGCTTGGCCCGGTCGTCGTGAACGCCGACGCAGCGTCTGCCGCACTGGCGGCAATGAAGAATTTGGTCGAGGGCACTGCGGTGGACGTGTCGGTGCACGCCGACATCTTCAGCACTTCCGCCGCCGAGGTCGTCCTGCCGGAGCCAGATCCGCCTGCGACCCAGGCAGACAGGCGCAGCCAGATTCAGCGCATCCTTCAGGGCGATGCCGCGGCGGCCGCTCACCCACGCGGACTCACGCAGGCAGGGCCGGCGGGGGAGCCGCCCGAGGGCGGGCCCGACCGCGAACGGGCTGCGAAGCGTCTTCGGATGCGGGAGGACGCGCCCTTTGACTACCAGGGGCTGCGTGGCGACGTCTTGCTGGCTGGGAAGATTGGCGCGGCTGTGTGCGCCGCGCAGTCCACCGACATCGCCGTCAACAAGCTCAAGGACATGTTCAAGAGCGACGGCACAGCGCCCGCCATCGACAAGGCCGCAACTCTGCTGCTCCAGTTCTTCCACGAGCTGGGGCTGGGAACGCGCAGCAAAATGGGGGAATCAATCGTTGTGCTGGCCCCGCCAGAGCAGCACATCGAGACGGTGGCGAAGCGCATTGCGTCGATGTTCAAGCTGAACGAGACGAAAGAAGCGCGGATGGTCGAAGCTATGTCGAGGCGCCCTGTCCGCCTTCGCTTCAACTTGGAGGCTTTCGACGCTCTTGCCCGCAAGGTCGAGGAGGGCATTCCTGAGTGGGCCCCGAAGCCGCGCTAAATGTAAAGGCGCCATGGGAGATCGGCAGGTGGACGTTTCAATCGCCGCGTGCGCCCAGCGCCCAGCCTCCGGGAGCTTTGTCTCGGTGACGGCTTCTCTTTTAGGTGCATGCCTATCTCTCTCTCTCTCTCTCTCTCTCTCTCTCTCTCTCTCTCTCTCTCTCTCTCTCTCTCTCTCTCTCTCTCTCTCTCTCTTTCTCTCTTTCTCTCTCTCTTCTCTCTCCCTCTCTCTCTCTCTCTCTCTCTCTCTTCTCTCTCTCTCTCTCTCTCTCTCTCTCTCTCTCTCTCTCTCTCTCTCTCTCTCTCTCTCTCTCTTTCTCTCTCTCTCTCTCTCTCTCTCTCTCTCTCCCCTTCACCTCCCTACATTTCCTTCCCTCTCCGTCTTCTTCCCTCCCTTGCTGCCGATGTTTGCGATTTTGAAGATTTGGTTGTTGGAGCCATTCGGGGATGCACGCGCGGCCTCCCCTCCTACCTCGATTCCCCCGCCTCCCCAGAATATGCCCCCCGGGCATCAGGTGGCAGCGCTGTTAGCCAGATACGCAGCCATCACATCAATGTTAAGCCTTTGCCCCGCGCCTTCAGCATAAGGCGGCGCAGCATCTGCCTTTGCCTAGCCACGCCGCTCCAGGCGTTAGGGCCCAGCCTCCGAGAATGCCGCAGCCGCAGCTAGGGCACCAGTCGCTAAACCTCTCATGGTGAGGCCCTAGATAGTTGCTCCTTAGCCTGCCAGGCTGCGCAGTCCAGGTCCACAGCTGCCCCCCACGAGCAGGGACCGCGTATCCCGCGGGGTGGGGGCCCCACCAGGCGGCCAAGAGCTGTCGCACAATTCGCCCGTGCTGCTGCAGGCGTTCTCGCCCGCGTAGCAGCGGCACCAGGCCGCCCGGCGGCCAGCAATTTTGGCTCTCCAACTAAATCCTTTCTCGGCTGGCTCATATACCGCCCTTCCCTGGCCGGTCGCTCTTTTGATCGGCCGTATACTTCTACCGTGCGCTTGGCCATTGGCAATTTCCAGCATTCGTTTGAGCACGTTGGGAAAACGTTATCTGTTTCTCCAATTGTACATTTTCCTCCTCCCTGGGGTGGATGCTTTGCGATGGCCATGTCGGAGGCCATCGTAAAACATCTGGAGCCATCTTGGAACCCTCTTGGGCCAGAACTCTCCTCACCGCTGCCCCTCTTAAGCCCCCAAGGTCGCCGCTTGGAGCTCTCTTGGGGCGCTCTTGGGCGCTCTGGGGCCCTTGGGGTCATCTTGGAGCCGCCTTGGGCCCTCGTGGGGCTGTTGGGTCCTCTTGGGGCCATCATGAAGCCTCAGAAGGCCATCGGAAGCGAAAGCGCGAGAAGGCTAAACTCATGTGATTTCTTTTGTTGTTTACATGATTTGGGCTCCTCGCGTCCTAGGGAGGCCCCAATTCACTTTGGCTCGTCGCGGAGCGGTCCAGGAGCCTCTCGGAGCATGTTTGGAGCCAACTTGAGCCACCATGCACAACGTGGAGCCATCTTGGAGACCATCTTGACATCTTTGAGACCCTCTGGGAGCCATCGTGGGCCAACAACCACCCTCTGACGCCTCGCGGCCCCCCTCCAGACCCCGGGGGGGGGGGGAGGGGCGCCCCCGATGGGGCAAGAAGGAGGTTGGGAGACGAAGCGCCCAAAACCACCTCCGCCCCAAGAAACTCCCAGGAGCCGCCCGAGACGGGCTACGAGGCTCCACTCTGCAATGCCTCCCGCCCTCCTGCTGCCCACTTCTCCTCGCTCCTGCCTCTTCCCCCTTCCATTCTTTCGTCTCCGGGTTCTCAGATTCCGTCTTCTTCCCATCATTCTTGAACCTCTTCGGAAGGTCCCGGCGCAACGTCAAACGGACAACACGGCAACCAACATGATGCTGCGCATTGTTTTTTATTGTCTGTGTCTTCTTGCGCACCCCGCTCGTTCTTTTCTAAGGTCCGGGCGTCGTGGCAATATCAGCTTCTGATTTGTAATATCGTGGCTCTCATCGTCTTTGCCATCCCCGTCCTGGCCCAATTAGGCTGAAGCATGCGAGGTCGTCCTCTCAGCTTCGCCCTCGGACATTGTTCGCATATTCCGACCGCGTCGGCTTCGCCATGGCCGGCGATCCAGGGGAGCATTTCTCCCTTGCTCGGATTCTGGAGCCTTTGCCTGTGCAGTGCACAACGGCTTTCTGCGACGTGTTGGCGCACGTCGATGCCACCCTCGCCTTGCCTGTCCTGGAATGCGTCCTGTCCGAGCAGGGTTATGGGCAGGTCGACGACACTGTGCTGGCAAACGTTCTTTGGAAGGTGCAAACATACTTGCCGAGCTTGGTGACCAACCGCTGCCAACCAGGCAAACTGGCAGCGCGTTTGAAGGAAATGCAGGATGCGGCTCCAGATGTCACCCTTGTTCGCATTCCTGCTCGCCAAGGCACGTGCCCGCACTGCGAGGGGATCTCCCTCTGCCCGTGCCCGGGCATCGACAAATGCGCCCGCGGCCGAAATTTAGCAATTTTGAAAGCCGAAGCCGCCCGCGCGGGAACGCCACCAGAGAGCAATGTTACCGTCTGGTATAAAATATTTTCGTGGACCGCTGGCGTGCAGCACACAGCGTTTGAAGAGAGCCGGTGCCCGAAGTGCTCGCGTTTCTTCTTGGGGGGATGGTCCTACAGAAAGAACGTTGGCGAGCGTGGTCAGCCGACGTTCGGTCGCTGCACAGATGTCAAGTTCGTGGGCAGTACGGTTGACGACCTGCACGTGGTCATCCCCCGGCAGCAGAGTTATTTTGCGGTGGGGGCTCATTTCCTGCGCACAGTCACAGACCAATTGGCGTTCAGCGGGGCCACCTTCACTTCCATAGTACACGTGTGGGCCCGGCAGCACCGCAGCGCGATCCAGGCCCGGTTGACTGTGGGAGATGATTTGACCCTTGTACATCACACCCGCGACTGCCTTGAACTCGCGCGGTTCACGTGGCGGGCCACGCGTTTGGCCGGCGACGCAGCTAAGGAGCAGACGTGGTCTTTCGAACTGTCGCAATTTGATGCGACGTTAGTCCAGCTGCAGCCTGCATTCCGCATGGCCAACTTGAGAAGAATAGCTTCTCACGTGGCGTCGTGCCCGCGGTGCCAGCGTTTGCTCCTGGTCATCGGCGACGGGAAGCGCGGGGCTTGCCGCCACGTCTGCGCCGGCACTGACGGGTCCATCACCTATCCAGACGTGGGCGCCACGCTGTGCACGGGGTGCCGGGCGCACGTCGGCGGTAGGCGCCACCTGTGCCAGACATGTCGACCTTCTGGTAAAGAGCAGACTGGCCTAGTCCCCCAACTCCGGGTCCTACGAGCCGAGCTGGCGCCGGCCCCGGACGGCGGTTTCGGCTTGGAGACCCGCTACGTCGTCGAATGCAAGACCGTCGCCAGCGACGGGGAGCTCTTCGAATTCTCGCTCCCGCGTTCCGAAGTGCGGCAGGATCTCCTCGCGCAGTTCGAGATCGGCAGTCTCCCCCTTCGGAGCGACCCGCGACAGAAGTTGCAGAAGCCGCCCACGTGGAAGAGCAAATTGCAGAAGACGCTCTGGCATAAGGGTGCCCGCGGTTCCTGCGCCCCGCAGCCGCCGCGGAGCAGCGCCAGCGGCGGGCTCAAGAGGAGCGCGCCGCCGCGGGTCGCCGCGGGGCGCGGCGCGCGCAAGAGGCGCGCGATGGCGGATGGCCCCCGCGCGCTGGCATCCACTGGGCTCAGGAAGAGCGCGCCGCAGGGGGCCGCGGGGGCGCGCGGCAAGCGCCAAGGGCAGGCGAAGGCGAAGGCCGCCCCCGCGGGGGCAGCCAAGCCGCGCGGCCGGCGGCGGGGCAGCGCCGCGGCGCCCGCGCAGGCACTTGGGCGGGCGAAGCGCACGCCTAGCACTGCGGCCGCCGCTCGCCGCGACGCCGTCGGCTCCAATTGGCTCTACGCTGCCCGCGAGGTGCCGGTCGAGAAAACGTCCTGCGGCATCGGCAAAGAGAACGCGTCCGAGGCGCGGCGAAGGCGCTGCACGGGCGGTATCGTGACCGCCGTTCTCCAGTGCGGCTATCTGGCCGACTGGCAGGAATTGTGGCGAGGGGAAGGCATCGAGGTGATGTACTTGTTCTTCCTCCGGCTGTTCAAGGATCTTTCAGAGCTGAAGGCGGCGCTCCAAGTCATAGGATACGACAACGCGCGCCAGTTGCTCGCTATCGCCAGGGCGAAGAGAGAGCTTCAGAAGCCGTGGTCCCAGGAGTTCGTGGATAAGGTGAAGATGATCTTGGGCGGCTTCCACAAGGGCAACCATGCGTGGTGCCTGAGCAATCTACCAGAGGTGGATCCCGACTCTGAGGATAATGCAGTGCTCATGGCGGGCAAGAACACGCAGGCTTGCGAGCAATTGAATTCCTGGATCAACGAGCGCACTGCGCCTGGGCGGGAGATGACTCCAGGCCACTTCGGCGTGCACTGGTGGGCTTTGTTCACGGAGCACAACGAGTGGCTGGTCCATCAGGCGGAGTGCAACCGCAGGAGGTACGCCTGCGGCAACATGAAGCACGACCCGGACGTCTCTCGGCCAAGCCGACCGACAGAGGGCACGACGGCGTAGATCGCTCGGGCGGGCCGGCGGCCCAGCCGAGAGACGGGTAATGCGCTCTGTGTACTCGCGGTACTGGTGCTGTGTACTTGCCAGCAAAACATGCCAGCCAGCGTGGGCCCCTCGCAGCGACTTCCTTCAACCTTTGTAGTGAAATGCATGCGGTGCAGGCTGAGTGGTGTTAGGTATGTGGGTTGGCTACGCGGTGCCATGTGTGTGGTGCACGCTGTGCGGTGTGAGCTATGAGGTGCAGTCTACGCGGTGCAAGCTGTGTGGTGAAATATATGTGCTATGTGCTGCGGTCTATGTAGATGGGCTATGCGGTCCACAAGATGAAGTGCACCCCATGCGGTGTAAGCTATGAGGTGCAAGCAATGCGGTGCAAGCCGTGTGGTGTAAGCTGTACGGGGGCAGCGAT